AATCCTACTGTCTCAGCCTCCCAAGTAGCTGGGACCACAGGCATGTGCCACCATGCCCGGCTAATTTTTTCTACATATATTTTTAGCTGTCCAATTAATTTCTTTCCATTTTTTGGTAGAGACAGGGTCTCGCTCTTGCTCACGCTGGTCTCGAACTCCTGAGCTCAGAACGATCCGCCCGCCTCGGCCTCCCAGCGTGCTAGGATTACAAGCGTGAGCCACCGCGCCGGGCCGTGACACTTCGTTTTATTTATTTTTATTGTGAAGGTACATCCTCAGTCTTTCAAACACATGTTCTGCCTTGTGATTATCTTTCAAATTCTTTTAGAGCAATTTTTGTGAAACCATGGATAAGTCAAAAGTTCATGTTATTTTCAAATATGAGTTCCCTTCGTGGAACAAATGCGGCACAGACAGCTCGAAATATCAATGAAGTGTTTGAGAAGGATGTGGCTAATGAATGAACAGTAGGTCAATGGTTTGAGAAGTTCCGTTGTGGTGATTTTAATCTTGAAAATGAGCCACGTGGGCGATCTGAGACCAAGGTGGATAATGATGAGCTCAAAGCTACAGTGGAAGCGAGTCCATCTCAGCCTATGCGTGAATTAGCAGCAAGGTCTGATGTTACCATTCCAACAACATTAGACCATTTGAAACAAATTGGCAAGGTATAGAAGCTGGATAGATGGGTTCCACATGAATTAAATGAGAGTCAGAAGAGAAATCGTCTCAAAGCTTGCCTTTCTTTGCTATCATGACATAAAGGCGAACCATTTCTACACCGTATCTACACCATATTGTTACGTGTGATGAAAAATGGATTCTTTTTGACAATCGCAAGCATTCAGCACAATGGTTGGATAAAGATGAAGTGCAGAAACATAGTCCAAACTCAATATTCATCAAAGAAAGCTAATGGTGTCTGTTTGATGATCCAGCGCTGGTATTATCCACTAAGCTTCACGAAACCTGGTCAATCAATTACAGCGGATGTCTGCTGCATCCAATTGGATGAAATAATGAGAATGCTTGCAATTAAGGAGCCAAGATTGGTCAACAGAGAGAGGCCAATGCTCTTGCAAGACAACGCTCAACCACATGTCGCACAAACAATGCTGCTCAAACTACAGAAGATGGACTTGGAAACTCTCTTGTCATCTACCATATTCACCAGACCTTGCACCAACTACCACGTCTTCCAGGCTTTGGTCCACTTCTTGCAAGGAAAAATACTTAATTCTCAACAAGCTGTCGAAAATGCCTTTCACAATTTCATTGCCACTCACTCTCCAGGCTTCTTTGCTGCTGCCATAAACAAGCTACCGTTAAGATGGCAAAACTGTGTTGACAGTTTAGGTGCATAGTTTGATTAATTGTACTGCTTCTTATTTGAGATATACTAAATTACACTTTAATTCGAAATCGGACATTTCATGTTAAATGACCTAATATTAATGTATTTCAGTCAGTGGAATAAAATAAATTCCTTTAAAATTTTCCTACTAGTTTTATCCTTTTTATATAATGGCCCCAATTTTTATAGTTTTGCCGTTTTAAAAATAATAGCTATGCATTTAGAGAATTTGTTCCCTTGGATATTGAAAGATTTTTTTTTAAGTAGTTATAAGCTGGCTAGAAACCCTCACCTTCTGAAAGATGTAGAGAGATGGAAACGTACGGGATATGTCCAACTTAATTAATTCCAGACTGGCCTCTCGATCAGCAACAGATACACCTGCATTTGCCAAGTAGATAAAATTTAAATGATCACTTGGCTGTAAAAGTTCAATTTTATAAACACAGAATGATCACATAGCATATGTGCTATTTAAAGAAAGTTAAAAGCTGAATAATCAAGAAATTGCAAGAAATGTCACATAGCTTTTGCTAGAACTTATAAAGAAAATATCTATATACTTATCAGAAAGTTATATGGTGAAGGATTTCTACTTCCAATTTTTATAGAAGATAGAGGCAGACCATCATTCCCATGGTAACAAGAAAAAAAAATTACAAACATCACATTTTTTCAAAAAATCATCAGACATTTGTGGATACAGAGAGATCAAGAGGATTTAAATTTCAGAAAGGGAAGAGCCTTTCCTAGGTGAATGAATACCAGAGGCCATTCTTCTACCTAGGGGCATCCGCCAAGTTTGGGCATGGGCTTAGGATCAAGCTTGCCATAGAGTACAAAGGTACTCTGCTTGGGGAAAGAGAAACCAGAAGAGCTTTTCATGGCCAAATAAGACTGATGTGACAGATAGTAATCTGGAGTTCTGAATGTATATCTGGTTTTCCCCATGGGACTTTTCTGCATGCAGGTCAGGCTAGAAAGGCAGAACAAAATCATCCAAGTCAAATGGTTCTTAGGAGAGCATCTCACTGGACAGAGACACGTGTAATCGAAATAGGACAGTTTTTCCGAAACCCGAAATAAACTAAATCTATCTCAAGCTGCAACCTTGCCCTGACCTAGCTCAATTACTGATTTAATTGAGGTAATAAACTCTTATTCCAACTGCCTAACAGCAAAGAGCATGCTTCCTGTACAGAAGAAACCTCAGCATATACATTTTATATATGGTGTCTGGCATATATTTTAAAAATTTAAGATATGCAAAGAAACAGGAAAATGTGACTTAAAATCAAGGGTAAAACCAGCCAATAGAAGCAGATCTGCAGATGATGTAATATTGGAATTAACAGGTAAGAATGTTACTATAAACATGTTAAATAGAGGGAAAGATAGAAGAAATATATGGGATGGAAAGGTGAAGACTTTCAACATAGAAACAGAATGTATAAAAAGAACCAAGTGCACATTCTAGAATTATAAAGTATAATATCTGAAATTAAAAACTCAATGAACAGATTTA